GATACCTTTTAGAGCGTTTCACAAAATTAAGTTCACGGGAATCGGAGAAAACCAATTCAACTCATTCCCTTTTGTTCCAGACGGTTAAATAAAAATCCATCGGAATAAAACAACGATAGCTCCAAAACCCTGAATGCAAAAAAAGGGGGGGGGGATTGTTGCTGAAATAAGAGCTTCCTTTAGAAGACGTTTCCTTACTCTGCACACACCTGATCTAGCATAGGCTTTTTTAAAAGTTCCCAATTAAAATAGGTTGAATACTGTTTCTTATTCGCACCAACACACCTACACCCCTGATGCCCCGGACTTCCGACCTGGCCACAACCTATTCCATTCCAGATCTCATATGGAAGTTTAATGTTCACCTCCTAGAAGCAGGGGTGGTTGGAAAGGCTGCGGATAGCCGCATAGCCAATCTGAGCGAGGGGGAAAACACACACACACACACAGAGAAAGACCCTCCTCGGGCTTTCCCAAACACAGCCTCCAGCGGGAGCGCCTGCAGAGCCATATGTACCTCCATAACCATCCTTCCTCATTAGCAAGCAAAGTTTTTGTCGGATACTTACTGAGACACGTGAAACTGATAGGCTGGTGTTTGTGGCACGTTTCTTTGGGGCCGTGCGAGTCGGGGCAGAAGCAAGCGGGGTGTTTCCAGCTCTCCTCCGGCTCCTCTTCTTCTGAGGACACCGACAGGCTCCGCTTCCTGCTCTGCCAGGCGGAGGCTGCCTGCTTAGAAGTGGGCTCCCTGCCTCCTTCCGAGGTGCTGCTGCTGCCTAAGATGGACTGGATGGTAAAACTGGAGATCGGAGCTGCTGCGGGACAACACTTGCTCGGGTCGTCTTTGTTGCTCATCCTGGACTCATAAGAAATAAGAGGAAAAGAGCTCTCGCTTTAGAGACACACTGGGGACGTTCGTCGGAGGGTGGGGGGGCTGCCTGGGGGGCTTGGCTACCTCGCCTGGCTTGGGGGGGACCAGTTTGGGGGGATATTTTTGGCGTGCCTTGGCAGGTTTTCCTTGAGCTTGCCGAGCCTGAATGCATGCTCCTTTCTCTCTCAGATCTCTATTGATCTCCAGGCGGCGGGGTGGCGTGGCTTCATTTGCATGGAGGTTACATCCGCCTCGACCAATCACAGGCGGCAAGGCAGTCCCGGAAAGTTTCAAAATTCTAGAACGCCGTCAGCCAGCTGACTGTTCTGGGCCACTAAGGCGACGTGAGCGGATCGCAGCCTCTCGCGAACGGGCAAAAGGGAAGCGGTCCGGTTAAAAAAAAAACCAGAACAAAACAATAATACGATCTATGTGGGGGAGAAAAAGAACGAATGCTTCGTCGACAAAGCTTTGGCGCGGGTCACAGTTTCTCTCTCCCCTCCCCCCAATTAGTTTATAGGATGGAATCTGGAGGGTATCGACGTGGCCTGAATGCTATTTTAAATAACGGAATGAAGCTTAGTAGGATCAGATGGCTTTGTAAGCTGTAGCATTTGTTTCGCCCACAAGATCTGGCCGCATATTCAGCCAACACTTGCTGGCCCAGTAATATTATTTCCAAGAGAGGAGGGGTTGCTCTCTTCGGCCACTTAATTAGGAAATAAGTACATTTGGAACCAGTGAGACTTTACTCCGAAGTAAATGTGCTGCAGGATCGAGACGGATAGGGAAACTGCTAAGGCGTCTTTAGGTTAGACGTCCTCCCCTCTTTCTCCTTTTACCAACAATAGAGGAAAATGCTACAGTAGGTGACTAGACAATATCCGTTTTCCAGAATGGACAATATCCCCGCGTCAGAGTAGCCCCCCCCTTTATGACAGCAGAGGTTTCACAAGCGCCGCTACCCTTGTTTAGTCTTAATTCAATTTCAAACAAAAGCCTACGTGTTCACCCGAACTTTGGACAGGGAGGAAGAAAAGTGGATTGACTGGAGGCACCCGAGGAAACAAAGTTGTAATTAAAGCAGGAGGGCGGCGGAACAGGAGACCTTCTCTCCCCCACCCCACCCCCGGATAAAATGTCTGTTTCATCATCACCCTCGCCTCCCCCCCCCCCAATAATATCTAGTCTCCCAATGTCAATCGAACCCTCCGGGGGAGGTGGGAGCTTGCAAGGAGGAATGAAAAGGCTACATATGCATTCAAGTTGCCTGGCGCCAAGCTGCCTAGCGAGGAGCTGGCCGCAAAGGATCCTCAATGAGCGAGGGCTTGCAATCCAAGCTGAGAAATGTCTTGCCGTCCCCAAATCCGGGCAGGTACATCTCTAATCTCCCCCGTGGGATGTAATCCATCCCCAAAGGCGCGGGGGTTGTTTTATTTGTGTGGGGTTTTTTTTAAAGGACATATATAACAATATGCAATTACTCGGGCTTTCTGATAGGATTGACGAGAATGACTTCCAATGACTGTAATACAATCGTTCTGCTCCTTCTGGGCTTGTACATCTTTGATCTCAGTCAAGGGCGGCCGGAGGGGGGAGGAGAGGGGACCTTGCTTGGTAGAAAAAAAAGTATTCAGAAACTTTGCCCCGGTGAGTGGAAGGGGGCTCTAGCCCTTGGCAGTGCTGGAACCGTGTTGTAAAAATAAAATAAAATCCCAGTACGGTTTTCTACTTTTTTTGTTATTCACATGACGCTGTACCGTGATGAAAGAGGCTAATCCATGTGCCTTAGTGATTTAATTAAAACCGTCGCTGCAATATAGGTATTATTACATACATCCGCTCGGGTTTGCCTTTGCGATGCAATGCGTTTAGGGTGTGAGTTAACTGGGAAGGGCTGGCCTAGCGTCTTTTCTACAGCGAAGCGGTTGGTTGGTCCCAAATGTCCCGGCCGTAGCTGATATCCTTCACCCACACATCTCACAACACGTCCAGTTCTTCCGATAGCCCCCTGGACGGAGAAAGCTGGGGATTGAGCAGTCGTATAAAGGGCGGACACCGCCTCCGCCGTTTTCTCTTCCCAAGAGTGAGAGAGTGCAGGTGAAGGATCTCTGACCGTCCAGTCCCGAACCTGATTGTATTAGCTGCGCACCCCGTTCGCTAGATTCGAACTGACTCTGTTAAAACAACTAAGAGGACAAATTCTGACCAGTAAAGTGTTACTCGAGAGGAGAACGCAACAACAGTTAGGGAATCTTTACAGTTAAAATGGCATTCCTTTCACACAGGCTCGGTGGAGGGCATTCCCGGATCCGAAGGGGAAAGACTTGGGTTCGGATTTCCACCCAGACTCACGTCACTACTGCACTACAGTGTCCTACGCAGCGGCAGAACCGCACCCTCGTAGACCTTTTGGTGTCAGTGGATTAAGAAGGGTGTAGCTCTGTTTCAGGATGGCATCGCTAGCCTACCAGAGGCAAATAAGAACGAGGGCCAAGCGGTTTCAGGATTTCATGTCTCCAGAAGTCAGACGAGGGAAGCTCCCGCTTCGGATTCCAGATGCTGAGGGGTTGTTTGTGCACCGTTCACACGATCAACAAAGTCCCGTGGCTAAACGCTGACTGATACCCAGTTGCTGAGCCCTGCCCCCCGACTGATCTCGGAAAACGTGTGCCTGAGAATTATTGTTATTATTATGGCGGTGACGTGACGGCATCATTTGTATGCCACGCTCCCTGCACAGATTCGACATTCTCTGCTGAAGTCCTTTAGCCATTTATATTCTGTTGCGATAGGGGTGTGTAATGTATCCCCTCCGAGCCTATTTTCGAGGCTCAGCCCTAAAACAGGAGGCGATAACAACGACAACAGTGCCTCTGAGCATGCGGGATTTGTCTTTATTACTGGCCAGTTTTTAGGTGGGACTGGGAACTAGAAGGGGCCGGCTTCAAGCCAGGATTGAGCCCCATCTGTTCTTAGAAGCCAAGCACCGGAACAGTCCAAATTGACTCCCCCCCCCTTCCGCCCTCGGCCCTACTCTCACCCACCAACGTGCCGAGGGGGGTGAAGAGACCCCCTTGGTCGTTAAGGAGAGAGGGCGGGGCTGGAGACAAATCCCTCCTCTCCTTTGATCCCCTTCACGTGAGGGAGCCCCCGCCTTGGGCCAGATGGGTTTTCTGAGTGGGGTGATTATCCCCTTCTCCCCACCCCCTTCCGCTCCCCCAAAATACATAATGAGAGATAAAAGCAAGATCCAGATCAATACAGACAAATGTCAAGACGTTTTCAAATGACATTTTCATTAACTCCGAGCCCCCGTGGAAGGCCTGGCATATTGAATCAAGCGCTTATAAAATAATTAGGGATAGCGAGATGACGACCGAGCCGCGTCGCGATCATTCACTCCTTAACTACTAGATAGACTCATTAAGGGGGCTTAATTGATTAGGGGAAAGTGGCCCGGCTCCTCCCCTCCTCGTGCGGGGCAGGTGCTGTCCTGTTTTACCGCATTAACCTTTTCAGTGCTTTTCAACAGGCTCCAGACACATTACAAATGGTCAGCTTTAATCATGATGTCAGCTCATTAACCCGGAAAGACCCCGCTCTGAAACACAATGTACGGGATCGTCCTTCACTCGGCTCTCTGCAGCCGGCCAGCCCCCCCCCCCTCCAAGACCGCCCGGAGGAGGGGGGGGCATGCAGCCGCCGCCTTCTCTGGAGTGCTCCGGCAGAAAGTGGCTCGGGGATGAATCCAAACGCCACACACCGCGGATCACACGCTCCCACTCCAGATTCATTAACGCGGAGTAACGAAATGCAGTGCTCGCTTTCATCTGTTGCAATAATGGAGACAGGCCATTCTTTCAGTCTACTTTTGACTAGAGGCCACTTTAACGACAGCAGGCCAGGCAGGAGCTGAACAGGTGAAGTTTTTTTCCCGGTCGCTACATCTGCAAGAGGTGTGCTGCGTTAACTCTCTAACGCTCTGAAGAGTACAACGGTAAAGTGTGAAAAACCTGGAGGCTCCGGCATGGGCTAGAACGAGGGAAAGACTGAGTTTTCCAACGAGATGGGTTATTCCCGATTAGCTCTCCTGCGCCCTTCTCTCGCCCTCCCCGGCTGGATTCCAAGGGAGGAGGGAAGCCCCACTGAGTGGACCACAGATGAACAGCTCTGGAATTTTTCCAGCCGAAACCTCCGTGGAACGCCTGAACTGCTTTTCACTGAGTCAGATCCTCAGTCGATCAAAGTTTGTATTGCCTGTTCTGACTGGCAGCTGCCCTAGTATGACTACTACCCAACTACTGGAGATGCCCAGAACTGAATCTTGGACACTCAGTATACAAAGCAGATGCTCTAACACTGAGCCATGGCCCCTCCACAGGACCATTTGGACACACATTCTAGAGAAGTGTGTTTAGCCTCTGGTGCAGATCAGTGCTGGGACAACTGAATCACATTAAACAGACTATCAGCCTTTAAGGTGCTGCAAGACTCTCTTGCTGCAAGAATTTGCCCTGGCCTGGATAGCCCAGGCCAGCCCGATCCTAACAGATCTTGAAAGGGCGACCTCCAAGGAATACTAGGGTCAGGCAGAGGCAGGCAATGATAAGCCACCCCTGGAACATCTCTTGCCTTAAAAACAAGTCTAGCTCACCACCTAGCGGTGCATAAAGCTAAAAGAGCTAGAACTTCTGCCTGCCAGACAATCTTAGGATCGCCTGGCTATTCTACACACAATGCCATACGATTATTATTATTATTTGCAAGAATCTGCAAGGAAGATTCTGTACTCTCTCTACCTCACATATCCAGCTGCTTCTCTGAGGAAGCCTTCCCCATCTATAGTTACTTCCTGTAAGCTTAATTCGAAACAAGAATCAGCACTGGAAGCTGTTTTCAGTGACTGGCACATTCTATGCTAGGTTTACCTAGTCATGGGCCCTGCATAGATCTACCTTGTGTCTGCTCCTTGTGACAGCCT